AACTCGATTTATGTCTTCAATAAAAACTACTAAATTAAATTTTTATGCGCTGCTATACGAGTATAAGCTGTTGTGGTTATGTTCCGAGATAAAATTATAATTAAAGTAAGCATTTAATATTTCAACACAATTGTTATCATTAAAATGAACATGCGGACAATAAAATATCTGCAAACAGAATTTAGCAAACTTGCACCAAACGACGCCGAAATATCCAACTTGTCATGTATTCGCAAACAAGCAAGCAAATGCCATGCCAAATCCATTTCAACATTCCGTACTTAGTCAGTCGGAATTAGTGTTGGATTCAGCATGGCAGGACGTACACTCATTCCAATGCAAATAAGAGCGAAATATTATGAGGAGGAATTCATTTCGCAATTTTATCTTGTCAGTTCATTAGAATGAGACTGAACAAAATATTACTGAATATTAAAATGCAAATAAGTCCTTAAGCAACATCGAGCTGTACTATTTTGCATATACAAGGATAATGTTTGTATAAATTATATTATAGTATATGAGCAGAAAAAGGTGTTAATATTAAATATAAAAAATTATTGTTATTAGTATTCCTAGTATTAATACTATGCATATTTCCATCACAACCCGTTCGTATTATTATTATTATTATTATTACTGGGTGTTAAAGTTAAGTATTAACGCAACAAACCATTTACAATATGGACAAGTAAAGATATTAGCTTTGACTTTGCTGAAGCTTAGATATCCTTTTTATAAAGTAATGAATCATTAAGGTGCCATTTATATAATAATATATTGTATATACATATAAAAATATAATATAACATTCATATAGTATAATATATAATAATACTAATAAATGCGGTTTTAAAACTTCTGTTCGCCATTTTATTTCGTTAGCCATTAAAGTTGGCAGTACACATGAAATGGATAAAGTTGAATTTGAAGTGCCTGTTTTTAAGACATTAATGTCCAAATATGAATTTACTAAAGTATACCACAAATAATGTTTTCTATAGTTGACAACTTTTTTTTAATGTCGTTTTCAATTGGTAAATCTGTGGTAGGCGAGTTAGGTTGGAGTGACGATCTTGTATACCACCTGATCCTCAAATAATAGATCGTTGTGCTACTACAGAAAATAGCGTTTATTTGTACATAGACAAAAAGGCTAATGTATGGCCAACGCCAAAAAAGGCAACGACTCTTGTATTAGGTAAACATAAACCAAACTGGCAATTCTATGAATGTGGCTAAGTCCCTAATATTGTAGGCTAACAGCTCAGTCAGATCGGTAAGAAAAGGGGTCCGGGCGTAACATTTAATTGAGATTCATTGTCAGTTTAATATTTATTTTCAATTGGTTAGTCTCGAGTTAAATGTATAATTTCGAGAATAATTTATAAGAATATAGATATTTTGCCAGAGTAGCAAGATTACCCTGAAATTAACAGCTGTTTTATAGGACTTGACAAATAAAGTGTAATGTCGGTATACATAAGTATTTTTGAAAAAAGTAAACGTCTATTACTACTACAAATATGTGAGATTTCGTTAAAAATAAAAATACTTGAAAAAATTTGACAGATCTAGTTAATCTAGATCTAGATTTACCAATTCAAACCGTGATAAATTAGAAAACAAACATTGAAAATTCTGAAATAATATGAGTTAAATTTGGTATATTCACAAATGTACCAAATTTGTATGTATAATATAAAAATGGATTAATATTTATATTATATATAACAAATTTTTTTTTTTAAATCTTTATTTGAAGAGGTTTTTCGAACAGTAGTGAAGTACAACAACAAAAATTTTATGTTTTTATATTATTTTGATTAATTCAATTTTTGGCTGACCATACAGCTGTTTCGAGTATTGCCAAATAATAGGACCAAATACATCAGTGGTCCTGGAAATAATTATTGTATTTAATTATTCGTAAATAATTATTTTTTATCTTTATTTAAAAGAATAAAACGCATATCTGATATTTCAGTTCATATTGGAACTCTAAAATGTGATGTTTAATCAATTCGGCAAATGCTAAAGATTCACTCTCGAAAAGTATGTTTGACAAACTGAGAGACTACTTTGACTGACAGACAGAGCTGAAGGATCTATGTACTTTCGTTTAAAAAGTTACAAAAACCTTGATAAACCTAATAGGGCATATCACCATTTTAACATTTTTTTTGCGTAAAGGATATAAAAATTAATATTATCACAATTCTTAAAGTTTTTGAAACGTGGTTATTTTAAACTTTAATGTTATTTTTTATAGTATGTACTTTAATTATAAATAAATTTAATAATAATTTAATAATGATTTAATTTTTTTTTATTTGCAGTTGAAAAAAATGAATCATTCCATAACACCGTTTAGTCTCACTTCAAGTTCAGTGGAACTGCTGACACCTTATGTCAGCAACAGTGCAGACCAGTCAAAGGAATTGGAAATTGATTACTTGGATGGCAGTACAAATATGAGTGGTGCTACATCAAATGACACACCACACTTGGATCCAGTGTTACTAGAACGTTTTACAAAAAATCGCAGCATAGATGAACCGTGGTATCATATACTAATTGCTATGTACAGTGTTCTCATCGTATTCGGTGCCGTGGGTAATGTTTTAGTTGTTGTGGCAGTGGTACGGAAGCCCATTATGCGCACAGCTCGTAATTTATTTATACTAAATTTAGCAATTTCCGGTAAGTTATGTTTGTTCCGCAGTGAAACTTTTTGCCTTTTTTTACGCCAAAGAAAACAAAACTTTTTATCAATAAATTTCTTTAAGTGAGTTTCCATGCTACAAAAGTTAGTTTATATCTACATAAAAATACTTCTATTTTTCGCTTACACAGTACATTTTTTGTACAAATTTTTTACTTAGAATCCAATTGTTTTTTGTTCTAAATTTTTTTTATTATTATTTTTTCTCCTATCAGTTATTTAGTAAGATCTTTCTTATCTGTCATTTTAGATTTGCTTTTGTGTTTGGTAACAATGCCATTAACTTTGATGGAAATCCTATCAAAATTTTGGCCATTTGGTTCGTATGCTGTCTTGTGTAAGATGATTGCCATGTTGCAGGCTTTAAGCATATTTGTTTCGACAATTTCCATTACGGCCATTGCATTCGACAGATATCAGGTAAATTCTACTTAAAGCTTAAATAAATATTGTTTTAAGTTTAAGGCACAATAAAAACACAAAAGTGTTCAACTCTCATTCCACAAAAAAAATATTTGATCCATTTGGTTCGTACGCGTATAGAACGTACACATATATTTGGAAAGGAAAGCATATGGTCATTAATAAAAGTGGCAGTTTATTTGCAAACGGAATTATACATAATAAAAAGAGAAATTTTACGAGGAAATCCATTGGGAAAGCTTATTTGGACAAACTATAAATAAACTAATCAGCACTTAGCAACTTTGCAGTATAAAATATTTCTTCTCACTAATTTTCGTAACTTTCATAAAAGTTCATCCCTTGGAGTTTTTATTTTCCGGATTATTTATGATTTCTTTCATATAAAACGATTTGCACGAAAACATTCGAAAAGAAAAATTAAGTTGTCGGAATCAAAGTTTAATTTTGTATCCTTTGGAATACACAATATCCCCAAGAAATGATAAAATAAGCAATAAAAAGAAAGAAGTAGTAAATGTGAATTAGGTTAACGGAAATATTCTGTAAATAACTTAGAATGTGAATTAGGAAAGGATAAATGTATTTAAATATTGAAAGTTATATGTTTTCTAAAATTAAATTAACCTTCATATTCATACTAATTCATACTAATTAAAGTAATAAGTATACTTAATAAATGTAAGTAAACGTTTAATAGTTTCAAAATAAATTCTTTATGAGATTTTTCTATTTAATTTACGTATCAGGTTCACAAGATTTAATAGAAACAGAATTCTTTAAATATGTATTGTATATTCAGCCATATAGATGACAGAAAGGTGCAAGGATCCATTACCTATCCGCTTATAACGGAATTAGGCAACATCTCTCCAAAGGACATATTGGCATTCTTAACTGCTACTCGTCTATGGAACTGAAGTGGGTATGTCACAATAATCCTCGAGGATGCAGTGACGCGGTGACTACTTCCCAACCCTTTTCTTTGCAAAAAAAAAAAAAAGGTGCAAGGATTTCAGTCTGAAGAATGCTTGGCCATATACACCTAGGTTACAGACCAAACTCGTATATTATGGAAATTATTATGAAACACATTTTGTGCATTCGTAATTTCACCCTCTCTAGTCAATTGTATTAAGGTTACTAATCATCGTATTATCTAACCGATCTTAACTACTTAAGGACCTGATATATATGATATACTTATACTGGCCAAGCCTATACTGGTGGAGAAAATAGTGTTGTTGTTTTGCATACATTTCGGTCAGTATAGGCCAGCAACTTGCTGTTTTTTGCCATACTTGCGAGCCACCGAAAAGGCCTATTAATAAATATATCAAACCATACGGCCATCTTTACCATGTGTAGAATGCTATTTAGTACGAATATATGCTAATTTATGGTAATAGCTTTTCACCATTACTTGCTTAAACTCCAGAAATATTATAGTATTATTATATTAAAATCTTAAAATGCTTAATAATGCATATCAATGCATATCAGATACTCAAGATTCAATAAATACAGAACTTATGAAGTATATATCATATGCAATTAAATAATACTTTTCCATGACGGATGGGATTGAAGAGAATAAGATCTTCCAACTGAAGAAAGCTACGTCAAGTTTTACTGCCTTCAGTACTTCACCTTTGATAAAGCGCGGTAGTATATTAGATTTGTCTATTATATGGTGCAATGCGAGATTGTGTTCGATCTTAACTTGGTTTGTTGTTATCGCGCGAACTTGTTGGTCCAAGGTTTCTGATTATTAACCGATCTTATTTATTAAAAAGTAGCTGTTTCGAATGCAGCAGCATGAAAGCTAAATATTATTATTTACACTTTAATATATTATTGTTGGACGAGGAATCATTAAGAAAATAAGAATTTGGTTCACTGTTTATAAGAAATGGAAACCATTATCTTTTAAGAAACCATCATTCTGCTTTATACTGCTATAAAATCTATTTTCATTAATACTAATAAATATATTAAGCCTTATAGGCACCCTTACCATATACCGAAGGCTCATTATTGATGTGCACTGTTAATTTCTTATAAAATATTTTTGTATCTAGTATGTTGTTAGTTCGTTAATGTATTACTCCATTATTCCTAAAATATAAAAATCAATGAAGCGTACCACCACATTTACATTAATGGAGCAACGATCCCATTGGAGTGTCAAACGTAGCCTCCATTATTGTAAAGTTTATTTTAAAATATATTTTTGTAAATATTCCCCTCATATGGAATATTAGATTTAAATTAATTAATACTCAACAAATTAAATACTTTATGTTTTATTGAGAAATGTAAATATTTCATAAAATGTATAAAACATTAGAATAAATTTTAATAATATATTCCTAATTCCAATATTTTTTTAATATTTTTAATATAATATTTTTTAACAGTTTTTATTCGTAGTTTATGATTTACGATTAAAAATATGTTTATTACATTTATCAATTTTAAAGCTAGGATTCGCTTTTTTTTGAAAAGGAGTATGCAAAACTATATATCATGTCAATTGCAATAGATTTTCCATACTCTTTTATAAATCCCTTCAAGCACTGTCAAAATCAATAAACGGGTTCATGTTTGTGTCAGTTTGACATCCATGAAAAATGCATTCAAAAGCACAAATTCTATTTCATTTTAAATTTTATATGATTCATGGAAAAAGATTTTATTTTTAATTTCTAAAATTTTTAAATTTTTCCTAAAAAATACATATCCGCTCAACATATTTAACAGCATGCTAACATATGTTAGCAGGCATACATAGTTAATCATATCAACGTATTCTCGTTTTAGAGTATATTGGGTTTTTGGTTTTAAATCCCCGTACATTTTTTAAATGTAAATAAGATTTATTTTTAGAAAAAAAATTTTATTAAGTTTTTAATGGATATGCATTTATTTACATATAATTAAATGTGGGTATTATGTTTATTCTATAAAAATAAATGAAAACTATTTGATACGGGTATTTTAAATAAAATTTTAAACAACTAAATAAAGTAATTCAAGTATGGTATTAATTTGTTTATTTATTTATTGTTTAAATTCTAATTTTATAGTTGCATAGATGGTTTATTAAATTGTAGCCCAGGGGCTACTAAACAAAACAATTCTTACGTTTACATATTTTAACTACAATTAAATAATTTAGTTACATGTTGTCTCCAAAATGTATATTTGACCTGAGAATACATAAAAGAGAACGGCGCACAACATAGATCCTCAAGAAGTACATATATATACTAACCTTATTGACTTATTTAACCGTTCTTAACAACTCATCCCTTACATTCAGCTAAGTGTTCCTTTTTAGGCACTTCTGTACTTTCTCGCATCTATGTACAATATAAAGTGGGGTTAGTAAGTGTGCTGACTGATCAGTTCATTGAAGACATGTTTTACTTAGACGTCTCCGATTGTTGTTAAAAAAACTTTTTTTAAAGCTGGGGTATTGTATACCAAGCCTACAACATAATCAAGCACTTAGCTAGTAGCGCCTATTGGGAATGTTCAGTTTTCAACGTCTATTTCTCTCGCTAACGTAAATTAGTTTCTTGATTGTGGCATGTATATGCCTTTATGAGGCATAAATATATTATATAAATATATTATATTTATATGACATTCAATGCATTATGCTTGGATTGTTAATGTTATGATTATAGGTACGTCTATTTGGGATTTGACTGATTGACGAAGCACAGATAGCCTCGGTTCTCATGATCGAATTTAAAACGAGATTTGTTTTTTTCTTTCACTCTAATTTTTTTATTTGGATTAAAAACAACAATAATTTTGATTTTGACGTGCCCGTGACAAACTACATAATATTGCTCTTACTCTTACTATGATGGTCATGTATAATATGATTTATTAGGTTACTAACATTTTCCTCATCACAGTTGAATGATGTTAACAGTATAAAGCATCCTTTATTCAATTTAGTGTGAAGGGTGTTGTAAAAATGTTATATTGCTTGAAGTTTGTAAATATGCATATTAGAATTCGAATTTCAAATGAATAATTATTTTCTATGCAAATTTTTGTTTGATGAGTGCATATAGCTATCAATAACAATAAGAGGAGGAAACTAATGCATTCGATTAAGCTGTCCAGCATTTAGTGAAAATAAAAGATATTTTACTGCAAAAAGGATTAAATAAAAAAAAAAGAATGTAATGAATGAAATGAATACGAAATAAGGTTTTCGTTGCCTGGATGCAGCAATGCAGTTTCAAAATTTTTATCATTCCATAGAAAAATAAATATTTGTAAAACCATCAATCAAAGTCTTATGACTGCCATTTTGAGTACGATTTATATATAAATTTTTCTAATATTTATCCCAAGCATTATATGTAAAAATGTATGCAAAAAAAATGTAAGCAAAATAGTTACTATTATATCATATTTTTCTTTTTATCAAGGATTTCGAAAAATATTGAATTTTTTATACGAAAGTATTTGTGAAATGTTGATAACTCTTTAACATATCACAATAATTCTTAAATTTTATGAGATAAAATATTTTCAGATAAGAACATATATTTCCATTTATTACAATTACATTAATTTCTTTAAAATTTCTCAAAAAGAGGTTTTCGAAAAGTAGTACACTACAACAACAAAAATTCTTTTTTATATTATTTTAATTAATTGAATTTTTGGTTAACCTTACAGCTGTTTCGAGGATTGCCAAATACCCATCATCAATGGTCTTGGAAAAATTTCGTGTATTTAATTATTCGTAAACAATTTTATGAGACTGCAACTACCAGGAATTGAACTCGTGCCCTGTCAAATTTGAAGCTCAGAGTCAGCACCAATTGACCCAAAGCCGTAGTTGACATTTATGATCGCACATTTTTCTGGGGTTTTTGTTAATTTGCTATGAAAGTTTCATTAACAAATTCACTTGTAGAATAATTGAATTAATTAATCATGATTTATATATTCTTTCTTATATAAAGAACCTAATCTAGGAACGTAATACTGGGAAAGTCATGGTAATGTTACTATTCGATTCGGACGGGCGAATTTTACGCAAAGAAAGCTTACAAATATTTACTTAATGGTATAATATTAATTATAGATATTCTTTTCTTATATTTAAGAAACTATTTATATATTATAATACCACATGTACTTATTCTTTAACTACATTTGGTGAATACGTACGGCCAATATAATGTACAGATATTAGATTGTTCTACTATCAGATTACTCAATATATACTATTTCGTAGTATAATGATTCTAAATTTATACTATAAAAGGGTACTCGTGCAGTTGCGATTAATATTTCATAGTATCGAAATAGACTTTATTAACAATATTTGAAATACATCAGATATGATGAAAGACATTTAAGGCATTGCAAATCACCATGGTTGCGACTTAAAAAGAGCTATACTATCGATAGGTAAATCTAAGAAAAGTATACTCCTTTTCTAAATAAAATTATTTTACAAGTTCACATTTCATTTAGTCCTTCGTGTCATGAAATGCTTACCTAAATCTAACATACATATAAAATATGTTATTAATATCCCCGAACTTATATATATAGATATATTATATATAATAAATGTATGTATAATATATATAGGCATTTATTTATAAAAACTTTATATAATTATATGATTTTATTTTTATATTTTAAGGTAATTGTTTATCCAACGCGGGATAGTCTACAATTCTTTGGTGCAGTAGCAATTTTATTTGGAATATGGCTTTTGGCATTGGTTTTAGCCTCTCCAATGTTTATTTATAAACGACTTGTGCACGCTGACATTCCATTAGTACTACAGGATTTGGGCATACGTGATGTATCATTCTGTATTGAAGACTGGCCATTAAATCATGGACGTTTCTATTATTCCATATTCTCATTATGTGTGCAATATTTGGTACCAATATTGATTGTATCTGGTGCATACTTTGGCATCTATAATAAATTGAAAAATCGCATAACTGTAGTAACAGTCCATACATCACAACGAAAAATGGAGCGAGGGAGACGAATGAAACGCACTAATTGTTTATTGATTAGTATAGCGATTATATTTGGTGTATCCTGGTTACCGTTGAATTTCTTTAATTTGTATGCGGACATGAAGCGATCGGTGGTGACACAGACTATGCTGGTGACGTATGCTGTATGCCATATGATCGGTATGAGTTCGGCTTGCTCGAATCCTTTGCTGTATGGATGGCTGAACGATAATTTCCGTAAAGAATTTCAAGAATTATTATGTGGTTATAAAGAAACTACTAATGTTAATCTTAATGGTCATACGACAGGCGGTGGACAGACGCGTCGAAGACGAAAACATGCTGACATATCTAAAGGGGATTTGAAGTTGCTTAACAGTGGTGGTGGTATTGGTGGCACTGGCGGTGGTGGAGGTGTTGGTTGTTGTAGTTCAAACAATAATACGAATGGACTGCGTAGCGTTATTACAGAATCGGTAGCGTTAACTGAAAATCCAATGCCAACAGAAGTAACCACATTGATGCCGCGGTAAATTTTTTAATGGAAGAGAAGTAATATTGTGAAATACCTGAGCATATATATTTGTGAAAATATTCCCTTAATAGTTCAATAGTTCAATAGCTAAAATAATGCAACGCAAAATAAGCAAATTAATATTTTTATAATATGAACTTAAAATAATTGCAATTTAATAAATAAATAACAGTTCTTATGATTTGGTACTAACAAAAGAGTAGTTTGCAACTTAATGTTCTGTCCTCTTGCACTAAAAAATTGAATGAAACAAGGTTGTCAAATGGTTTTCGGCTGTCGATGCGTTTTAACTAAAGCTGCATGTTGTCCTTTGTAAATGTTAATAACAGAAACTGTAAATATGTTAAAGGCTAACATTCATTAAAAAGTATCGTTGTTGTATAAGTCAATTTATTTACTATATAATAATGCTATAACATAGTACTAATGGAAGTTATAATAATGGCTTTTGGATGAATATTAGCCTTAAGAAATTTCATTTCAAATGAAGTAATTAATTATTAATTTTTTTATGTATAACGATTTGAAACGAATTTGTAGCTTTAATTCATTAAGTGTTTTAAATTTTAATAATATAAGAAATAATATTTAACAGAACGTCTGCATAAAGTTCAAATATATTTTGCTTCAATTAATGGCTTCAGCTTTTCTGCAATTTTGCTAATAATGTTAAGGGTTGTGTGATATATTTTTGAACTATTATGAAGTACACATAAATCTTAAAGTTACTTTAATTAATTGAGCCAAATTAAAGTAAGTTTTTGATTAATTAAATTGTAATTAATTGAATTGTAATGTTGTCTTTATCTTATTTTTGGTAGTTTGTGTTCTGTAGATATTGTAAATAGTAGTTTTGTTGTATCACAAATAAATAATATTTCAAATTGTAATATAAATATAATAAATATAATAATAAAGTACAGAAAATTAAAGTTTGTAAACTTTGTATATAAATATAATTTTTTTCATACCAAATCTTTTCTCTTCTCTTTATTTTTTGCATTCTATAGGCCAAATGTAAGCTGAACTTGGCTTTAATGCGGATTTAGGTAAATTTAACAGTATAAAAACATACTATAGTTACAATTTAAAAGATCATTAAGAATAATAATTATAAATGCTTCAGTTTTAAAACTCACCAGTGAACGACATATTTGTAGTACAATATTCGATGTAAATATTATTTCTGAACCTGCTGACCTGTTAATGAGATGCTATATATAATGATAAGCTTTGAAAGCTAAGAAAAATTGAATATATATAGAGCATTACTAACTTATTCAGCATAAATAAGGGAAATAATGTCTTGTTAAAAGAAACGAATAGAACTTAACTTAATACGTAAACACTAAATTGAAATATCTATTTTGATTATTAAAATAACCAAAGTTAAAAAAAAAAACTCTATGAGGATAATGAGCTTTAAAGAGAGTTCCATTTAAACCACTTCAAAAAAATAATGAAATAAAAAAACGGTAAATATCTTCTTACTGCTATTATTTGTTCGAATGAATTTCTCGTAAAGAATATATATTTCCTGGTAATTTAAAAGAGTTCAGTTAGATAGAATTGTAGAATAGAAGTCCATTACATTTTTTTCATTTAAATTGGTTTTTTTTTGGACGAGATAAAATGGGCAGCCATGACTGTTGTATATTTTTGCAGAAAACCACATTTTTCTCAAAATTTATTCAACAATTTTTTATTGTTTTCCGTACATAAATACCTTATTATCTTATTAAATTTTTATCCTGAAGAATTTTTTTTCTTTATTCAACGTTTTACTCCAATGCTTTTTTCAACATAAATGCAAAAATTTTTTTATGCGTATGAGAGTCAATGAATGGATTTGTGCTGCTATGTAGATTATATAGCCGGAAATGACTTAATTCCAATAAAAATATATCTTAACTTGTAATAAATGAGTTATTTAGTAATGTCGTGACTGTTCACATGTTGCTTGTCTTCAATCTCATCGCATCATTTTTTTCGATGTTAAGTTAGCTAAAACAAGGAGTGAAGTAAGTTAGGAACTTTTTACAAATCCCATGATTTTTGATAAGTCTATACTAAGCTTCTCTTTTTATCGTACCAAAATAGTTAAACATATTAAACTGTATCTGAAAATTCGCACATCAATGCTTGGCACCCCATAGTGTAAATGATCAAACTTAAGAGAATATTTATTGTTAGTTTACTAATTTATCATTAAAATAATTGAAAGATAAAATTAAATGTTTTGAAATTATAAGGCAATAATTTCCAAAAAATGAAAAAACGCCGTTTACTTTTTGCCCAGTGTCATATTTAAAATTTTAACAATTCGAAAATGCATTCAATGGAACTTTACATATACATATATATATTTTTTGTAAATTGATAGAAAAACGCCATTTACTTTTTGCCCAGTCTCATATTTATAATTTTAACAATTCGAAAATATATTCAATGGAACTTTACATATACATATATATATTTTTTGTAAATCGATAGAATAGTCTTAATATCGTTTTCTATAGTAGACTTATTTCGTTATAAAGTTTTCATATAAAGATAGAAGTTTTTCTATATAAATATTTGATGCAAAGTTGTTGGTGTAAAGTAGTTTTTTATTTCTTTTGTTTTATAAAAATTTTAATTATAAAAAGTTAAAATTTATTTTGTTTTTAGGTTAATTTTAAAGTAGTGTTGAGAGAATGTACATAAACAGAGAAAGCAGGAATAAAGCACATATTAATGATCAGTTCGGAAAGAGGATTTCTACATGGTGTATACAAATTAAGTTTTTGTATAATATGTAATTAATAAGTATTTAATTTCATAATATAATTTCTATACATTTTAAAATTTCATTGTAAAAAACATCAATATTAAAGAAACGAATAGTTGATAAGGAATAGTTCATAACTCTAAAACTGCCTCAGTTGGTATTTTTAAGCACTATAATTTTTTTTAGTTTATTAGTAAAGATATGTGTACTATTAGCACATATGTAAATAAAAAATATATTGTTTATATTATTTAATTATTATAAAAATATTGTATTTATTTATTGAAGTAAAATTAGAAAAGTATACCTTTATGAATAATTTTTATTGAAGTGTAGTGAGTTTTATGATATAATTATATATTAAAGTGTTATTTAGTTAATTGTAGCTAAACAATAAGACATAAGTATATAATATTAAAGTTAAGTACGCATAAGGTTGTATATAATATAAAGTCAATATCTCTTTTTTATTCTTAATAATATTTCAAAAGTTACTTTAAATTAATATCCTTGTGTATACCAAATACATTTATAAAATATTTAATGAATTTTTAAAAGTTTGAAAATAACCTACAGGTCTGTAACATAAATGTAATTTACCATGAAATAAAAAGAACTTTTATTAAAAATGTGTTAAAAAAGTAATTTTATATGTGTTCAATGATGTGATAAGCAATATCATAGGAAAAATATTTATATCTTAATTGTGATGCAAGTAATTTGCACCAAATGTAAGTATGCGAACATTTCATATTCCTAAGAACTCAAAAGTTCTTCCGCTTCCTTAAAAGTTATTATTAAATTTTATTAAAATTTAGCTTTTGTGGAAGCAAAAGAAGCAATGGAAGGTTCAATCTCGATATGTGGAAGGTGAGATGTAATATCCTTGTCATATTGCGAAATCATTTTATATATATTTTTTTTTTTTTTGCTGTAATTATTACAACTTATTTGCATATTGAATAAATTTTGTTGTATATGGTAAACACACCATATTCAATTTTCTATTATATTTTGTTTATATATACATACATATAAATATATATACTATATAAATGTTTTATAATATAAAAATTTGTAAGGTACAATTTGGTGGTAAAGTTTTTTAAAAATAATTTTTAATAATAAAGAAACGTGGGTATGACGTGTTTTGTTATTTATATTTCCATTATATTTAAATGCTAAAATTGAATTTTTAAATATCTAAAAAAAGTTTTGTTAAATACATTTTTATATATATTTAAAATTTATAATATAAATTTTGGTAGATTAAATGTAGTATATGTACGCACGTATAGACATAACCATAGCCAATGCCATATGGTGCATTGATTCCCTTGTCAAAGTATTAGTGAAATAATGCTTTGTGTGAGAAAAGAGGTTCTATGTTAAAATGAACATACCTTCCCTGCTTTTGTGTATTTGGTTGAATATATTGCAGAAATAATATAATTATTTTACAGAGTAAAGCCATGTGAGTAGTACTTTTTTCAATATTTCAGTGGAGTAAAGTTTTGCGCTTTTAAAACCAACTACATAAGGTATTTATTAAAAAGGAAGCCAAAGAAAATTATGCCAGTCTTATGTGCTAAAGAAATTGCATACTTCTTATAAAGTAAAATAAATTAAACACTGAGTATTAATATGTACTTAGGGAGCTTGAAAAGTATTACGCCTGTATATAAAGTAAATGCTTCAAGGTGAAAACGAGTATCGCATTTGAAGAGAGGGATGATGGAGGGATCGAAGTCCCATTCCTAGAGGTAAAGGGATGGGTATTGAGGGGGTTGTGGCGTAGGGAGGGTGCTAGGGGCTGAGATGTGAGGCACTTTCGAGCAAGTAAGAGGAGATACCCGTCGATGCGAGTAATTTAAATATTTTTTTTTTCGGAAGATTTTAAGTGTTCACCATAAACATTAAATATAAGTATCACAATTTTGTAATTTTGTGTTTAATAATAATATGTTGTTGAAAATTGAGTTTACATAGGCACTATTTATAATTTTTGGTTCCCAAAAGTAAACTACATAGTTTCCTAAAGGTCCTTATCTATGTTAGAGTTGATTTCCATATGAATTGATGCTGTAAAAAGCGTTATAATATCTATTAAAGAAGTTGTAAAATCATTTAAAGAAATCTGTTGAATTAAGAAATTATTCGGTCCAAAAATAAGACAAGAACAAAATATATTTATAACAATATTTTGATCATCACACTTTTCAATTACCCCTCGTAATGCTGGTAAATTGGTATTAAAGTATAATTGCGTTTTTTTTATAATTGCATTGCGATTAACGTGCCAA